ATAATAATAATAATAATAATAATAATAATAATAATAATAATAATAATAATGATAATAATAATAATAATAATAATAATAATAATAATAATAATAATAATAATAATAACAATAACAATAATAATAATAATAATAATAATAATAATAACAATAACAATCATGATAATAATCATAGTAAAAATAGTAAAATAATAATAATAATAACCATAATAATAATAATAACAATAACAATAATAATATAATAATAACAATAATAATGGTTATACAGGGTGTCCCAAAATTAAGGGCATCAATTCATAGTAATATATTTGGAGCTTCTCCGCTGCGAAAAACGATGGAATTTCTATGCACGTTAGCTAACACCGTTTCCTACAACACGCTACAATCACATTTCAAAATACCACCCATTAGCGCGGATAGAGGCCCAAAGTTTGCTCTCGACCTGATCGCATGTTGCACGCAGGTATCCTTCTTTCCAAACTGGAACTGCAAACACGACAGGACCTCTTCTAATTAATGACCATACGGGGGAGTCAAGTGAGTCATGTTCTGAAAAATAAAATGGCCATTACTTTTCACCGATGAAGTCGAGCAGCTGTCGTTGGCACCACTCGCGGGCAAGCTTGGCTCTATGGGCTGACGTTGCGTCCTGATGGAAGGACTACAAGATGTTTCAGGAGACGTAGTCGGATCATTGTTTTATTACGTCCATCAGTACGTTCTTTGAGCAGTGGTCTTAGCCAAATTTCATGGCGGCACCGAAGAAATCACGAACATCTCACCTTTGCCAGTGACTTCTTTGAGAAACATCATTTTACTGTTCTCATAGCAACCTTTTTGTGATAGACTGTACGCTAGATGTTCATTTCCAGAACGCGAACGTTTTGGTTGTTGAGGGACGGTTTATCGTAAAAAAAATTTTGGCCAGAGAAAGCGATGAAGGGTTGCGTGTCATCACTCAAGGCGGTCTGCGACTTTCGGCATTTTTTGGCCCTGCAGTGTCTGTTAAGATCGTAATTGAAGCGAAATTTCTGCATACGATAGGAATGGCAATTTAACTTATGCATGGCATTCTTCCATGGCGACAACTCCGATAAGCCGCGCCCGATGACTTCATTTTGTTGGGTCACCCAAGATCCCGACCGACTGGCAGACGGACCATTTTAATAGTTGTCTCTAAAAACATTGGCCTTTCTACCTTTCCTGGCTTGTCTCTGATTCAATCTTCTTTTCTGTATCGTTTAATGGCCTCCTACACGGTTATTATAGAAATACCAAGAAATTTCGTAATGCCCTTCCACCTCTCGCTGGTCAATGAATAAGCCTCGTCCATCTAAAAAACATTGGCAGTTCCACATCAGAAACCGCGCATATTCCAAGGAAACCTTCTTATGCATAATTAATAGCAGGTAATGTGAATTTGATAGATTATTTCTACCTAGAAGTTTCTGAAACTTGGCGCCCATAGTTTTGGGACACCCTGTAATAGTAAAATGATGGCTTTTAAGGTTAGGTTCACGCTGTTTCCATGCGGGCTCTCAATGAGGTCAAAAAAAANAAAAAAAAGCGATATCCAAAGGCTTTCAGGTCGTCCTACCAGAAGTCTAAAAGCTATGACTGAAAATCAGATTGTCCTGTACAACTTGGATGCGATATTCGCTTCATTTCTAAAAATCAGTAATCCTTACCAGTTGCAGCGCACCATCAATGTAGAACATAAATCTGTTGGGAGACTGCGGGAATGTCAAAAGCAAGCTCCTCAGATAATCAACACTTCCCAGATCGACCGTATCCCAGAGAGTTTTCCAGCATTGCTGCTCTTGCAACCAACAAGAAACCATGAGGTTGGTCTGGTTCATCAGCCTTCTGGTGAGTCTTCCGAAATTTCGTCAAAAGCATTTTTTTATAATTACTTCAAGTACTTTAAATGCAAGAAACACGCATCAAAAGCATCTTCTGTCGTTATCATTGATAAAGTTTGGGAAAAATAACTGTCAACATGTAATCTTAGGCTTTTCTTTCACTGCACTATTGCAGTTTCTTATGAGGTTGTTTTTAAGTTTTAACAATTTATAGATTCAACACCTTGACGTTTCGCACTGACCAGGTTTCACTACAGACGCGGAGAACTCGCTAGCGATACGTGATCGTTACTGACTAATAACACTGAGGAGGATCACATGGTAATTCTAACTATTCAGATTCAGAATTCTGAAGACCGATGCGAAATGTTGAGCTATTGAATTAATAAATTGTTCCACCAGTAAGAACTTCGCAAGGCACAAAGTTGTCCCCTTCATAATCACAGCGAATACCATTTCTTGACAGAAGTGATTGTGGTATGTGTTGATAAAACAGAGGCACAATAGTATGAATACATTCCAATTCCATTCATAGAATATCCACTCCCAGCAAACCATATACTACCCAGCTGTCATCCAAACGCCTCACATAGATCCGGCTCGATTGCTGCTTTTCTTACACCTTCCTTTACACCGTTTTCCTCATCCTATTCCTTCACTGATGGTAGTACAGTTCTGTCGCTTGTTCAGCTTCCCTATATCCTCGCAATCAAAGTGTATCATGGTGTAATTTTGCATCCTTTCATTATCATTTCTGTGAAAATTCACCTAGCGCGGTATAGCCTTCTGCATGAACCCTACAACAGCGCCAGCTATGAAAAGGTTGCCAGTCGTTGACATTTCTGAAGAACTCGAGCCGTTTTTTCTCATTAATTTCTCCAAGACATAATCATACGTTGACCGGCCAGATTGCTTCCGATGTACGAAAAATCTTTCAGCAACTTCCCCAGAAGTCCAGGTCTTCCCTAAGCCCTAACTATAGTGGAACTCTTCGGGTTACTGCGATCGCAAATCGATGGTTTCGACTATCGTGATTGTATTAGGGTGTCCGAAAAGTTTTGAGAAAATTTAGCCTCTCATTTTTGAAAGCATGTAGCTCGCGAACGCGCCAGAGAAGGATCATGGATTCGATAGCAGGGAAAAGGGCATTGCTGATAGATCAATGCTATAGCTGATCAGTATTTGACGTGGTCGGTCGAAGTAGGTAATCGTTGACCGAACGATTTGCCATGGTTCACATTTGGAAAAAACTATTTCTACTCCCCAATCCATCATCCACGACAGTCTACGCAAAATTCACTTCCAAAGCAGGACTTTTCGCAAATATCGCACATCTTTGACAGAGCAGGCGTGTCGAGTGAGAGCTAGTGCTCGTCAGACACTCCTCGACTGTAAGTGAACGACGACATCAACCGACTTCATCATTGCGCAGGATAAAGAGTAGATGTTGTATGAAAATCCACACAGGATATCGCAGTGCCTAAGAGCGGGCGTAAAGCCACAGCCCGCTATGAAGCGACGCGCTCAATCCAAGAAAGATGAGCTCATTCTCTTTCTGCTCAACCGTGTGTTTTACTATGAGCTCTTACCAGAGTGCCCTCCGGTTAACGCAAGAGTATTTTCTCAACTACTGAGAGAGATAGTGAATCGAGCCCCCATTTCACGAAAATTACAAGTGTTCTTGATTGTGATGAATTATACTCGACCAACCCACTCGAGGATGTCGATGGATGAGCTAGAAAGACTTGGTATAACCTGACTACCCCGATTCCCATATTCATCTGACCTTAGTCCACATGTCTGCCATACCTTCAAAAGCCCTTAGGACTGCCCTACAGGGCAAAAATTCACCAGCCGCGGAGAGGTCAAGTAGGTGGCAGATGATTGAATTGCGTCAAGCCTCTCTTAATATTGGAGGAATGGCATCAATACAGTCCGGTTAGGAAGGGCCACGATCTTGACCCTGATCGAAGTTTATTGCTGTAGTTAGTTTATATTGAAAAAAACCAACTGAATTTGCTTAAAACTTTGCGGACGCCCTAATAAATCAGTGCTGTACTTCTGCGTCCCTATGCACAGGATTCTAGATTCAATCGATAAACATCAGAAACGTAAAATCTTGGTCCATTTCTCAGACGAGACCATCTTTCTCCCATAGAAAAAGGGCAGTTGAACTAGAGTGCAGCAAGTTCAACGGTCACAACTCCTTTCTTTTTTTCAAAATTCGCCTTGGCACCCTCTTGACTAATTCGATGGACTCACTGCCCTTTGAGAAATACTGCCAATGCTTGCTACTTCCCTAATATTTGAACTACATTGGCACCGCGCCCTCAGCTGTATACAGCAAATGGATACTGATAGACAATGACTGACCGAAGAGCAACATTGATGGTGATTAAGAACCATGCTGCTTTCTTCTAATTCTATTTGGCAAAAAACAAAATCGCAAATAAAAAACCATGAAATGAAAAAACGAACTAATCGTAAAGCTCATCATGAAGTACACTGGCACAAGTGCTGTTCGTGTGCTGCAAAACGCCCATCATTGCTTCAAAAACTGAACTGATCGACGGCAACGTTCCAGTTGTCAGGGGCTGAATAAAGCACCCTCTCAACAATACGACTGCTCAGAAATAATAAAATCATTGCTGATGAAATACAGTTAATGAAACGATCAACACATCACTTGAGGTTTGTCAGGCGAGTGGAAAGGTACTTATTTAACAGTTAAATATGGGTGATTTTTGATGCTGTTCGACATTACCGATAGCATAGCAAAAATGGGTTGAGAAAATCATTGTTCAACAACGAACTCGATCCTCTCAAACTAATCTAAATTCCCGTGTCATGTGTCATGTTCTGCCCTTCAACGGGTTGCTACACCTTATCCTATTCTGAGAATATCTGGACCCTCCAAAAAGTTTTCTGATGAAAAGGTTCATCAGAACGGTCAAAACAGCTAGATTCACCATTGAAAAAACTATAGTTTCAGAAAGAGCAAAAGCCAACTTTTTACCTGGACAGAGGCAGAAAAGAAAGTGTTCACAATGGGAAGGTTTAAATGCTTGACAAGTTGATCGACATTCGGTAAATAGGCATCATCGTCACGTATTATTGCTACCACATCTGATCTGAAAGAATTTATGCGACATCGACAACGAACTACATTGTCTGGTAACAGTGATACTTTTTTTTTTCAAAGTTACGCGATGAATTTGAGAGCACTACTTGAAAAATTCGCTAGAAACGTTCACCTACTGAAGACGTCGCATAAGAATACGAACTACTCGCTGAAAACAAAGTACACAACAAAGTACAAGTGTGAGTATGTCATAAACAACCATTTGAACCGCCACGAACTTCGCCGCGCAATTTGCCGCGCGCATACTAGGACGCACGTAAGTACCCATACCCATCAAACCCCAACCCTTGGTGTTCACGATGTAGCTTTGACTGTTCAGTATGTTTCATTCGATAAGCCGGCACTGTAGAGTAAGGTGACAAAAGCGATTGGTAAGTGAAGTGATAGGAACCCATCAGCGGCACCACTATAAGCAGATAAGAATTTTGTTCATTTTTTACTATTAGATTACGACCGCAACCCGGCAAGGTTTGTGACCCATTGAAGGATCCCCACCGTTCGATTTCATTTGCAAACTTAACCGACTGCCAGTTATCTGGGATTCTTAACTAGTGATATCTCTGTAAAGAAAAGGTCCATTGATAGCATTGATAAAGGTGTTATTATGAGTCGACAGCATTTAAGGGTTCCCTTCAAGGCTTTGATTGCTTACCAGTTGAACCTTCAATGGGTCATTATTTTTAAGAACATGAAGAGCGCCATATCGAGACTTTTAATCATCATCATAGCATAAGCATTGCCTCATTTTGAATACCTTATGCATGCCCTACTAGTCCTCTGTCAAATTTCGGGTTTCGAAAAATCTCTATGTTCCAAATAAAGAGGGGCCATTTTGCCGATTACTACAATAAGAAGTCATAAGAAGGAGGGAACCCCGGCGTTAGTCGGGCCACTCGACTGGTAGCTATATTAAGAAGCTATACTAAACCACGGTGTTCAACACTTCTGCAACCTTCAAACATTCGAGCAAGCCACATTCATGCGATGTACCCGTTTCTCGTGGATGGCAAGGATAGAGGTGTATGAGTGGCCGAAAAAACAGCGCAAATTATGCGTTCACAATGTATGAAGGAAAAATGCAAGAAAATGATTGGGTTAGGCTGTTACGGTGCTTTTTAAGGAGAAATTGTCCAATCTTCAACTTTATACATCAGAGTCTCAACATTAAAAGCAAGTGACTTCAAAAATTCTCAAGAAATTCTGGGCAAAGCAAGTAAGGCTAGCCAAAAATAAATGAAAGTACCTAAGTAAAAATAGAAAAATGTCCAATCAAAAAAAAAACTCAACTGAAAACCCACAAAAACAGATCATGAGAATACTGCTCACTTTTGGATGTTTGTACCGGACAGCAATTCGAACAGATTAGCGACCGTTCTGAGATCTGATGAGCAACTGTCAATGATAACAGCACCTAAAGACAAGCCGGTGTCCTTCAAAACTCGCTCTGAATTCACCTGTAAAAGGAACAAGGAATTCCAACATAGAACGATTTTCCACGCTAAATTCTTCTACTGGATTCGATTTAAAAACAAACATTTGAAAGAAAAAAACAGAGTAAAATGATGATAAAACTCACTTTATTCAGTGCATTAAGGAAAGCGCCCAATCTCAGGAAACCGTTCAAATCCACGCGACCACATTCGAATCCCTAGGACAAAAAAATAAATAGCATCTCTCTCATTTATAAAGCAGAAACTTGGTGTCGGTTTGTAAATTTGTCGTTGTGCCGGTGTGTCGGTTTGCAGGTCTGTCCGTCCGCAGATTTTATGATTATGATAAAGGGAGCGATATGGAAAATCTTGTTCCATTCTATAACTCCTTCTTATATATAAGGCAGTAACTTTGTGGGTAGGTTGAAGGAGTTGAGGGAGTACTGCGGAGTGAAGTGAGTGCTGTGAAGTGGGTACTTCAAAACTGTGATTTCGATCTGTACAGACATCGTGCTACGTATGTCTTTACAAAAATCGGAGGTGATGGCAGTTGGGAGACCTCCGCTTTTTTTCAACGCAATTTCAGGTGAGGTGAGTCAATTGAATATTTAACTCACACCCCATTCTAGTTTTTTGCACGAGTTAATCATTCCAGCCCCAACCCGCCGCTCCTCCCCTACGGAGGCTTAGCTGGAACCATATTCTTTTACCTAAAACCGTTTCTAAGTTCAGGAAAGGTCAGCAACCCCTCCTCCGGACTCTTGCCCTCAGTGTTGGATAAAACCAATGCTGCCACCTCCCCCTCCCCCCCCNTTTATATAACGCGCTCGCGTCTGTCTGTTTGTACGGAAATTCATAACTCCTGTCTCCGTGGACCTAGGACGTTCAAATTTGGTAGGAGCACAGGCGGCAGAATGGGAACACATATGGTGGGTGGCAGGACCACACTCCGCCCACAGGCGGCGAGGCTTATGCGAAATTAATGTTCAGCGAAAAATCATAACTCCTGTCCCTGTGAAACCAGAAAGTTAACATTTGGTAGGAGTACCCAAGGCAGGGTGGGAACATATATGGTGGGTGGCAGGACCGGACTCCGCCCACAGGGGGCGGGGTTTGTGCGAAACAAATGCTTCAGCGGAAAATCATAACTCCTGTCCCTGTGAACCCAGAAAGTTCAAATTTGGTAGGAGTACTCAAGGCAGGGTGAGAACACAGATGGTGGGTGGCAGGACCAGACTCCGCCCACATGGGGCGAGGCCTGCAAATAATGACAGTCAATGACCGATACAGTTAGGCTAGCGTTAAAGCTGTGGACATTTGGTCCTTTTTTTCCTCAAGAAGTGTGTCCCACCAGCTAGATTTTGAAGTGAAAGTTCCTGGAAGACTTCAAGAGACTCTCAAGAACTCGTAAACATGTAACACCAAGATTAACAAATGCTTGCCCTCACTGACGTTTTGAGCTTGTCAAATAAGGTAAGGACCAGGCGATCAAAAAAGAACCATTCGTAGGATATTAAATTGTTCCCATTACTGTTTACATTAAACTTCTCTGAACATATGATTTGAAGAAAAAACTGGTATGGATGTAAGAGTACGCGAGACTATTGAGGGAAGAATCGTACGCACAACTCCAAGCATTTTATCGAAACAAGGTTCGCATTGCAAAAAATAAATGAATTAATAAATAAATGATCAGTTCTCTCCAATGCGCTAGCAGTTCTACAGATATAGAAAGAGAATCGAGTTCTGAGTTCTTCTTCGCAAAATTTCGAGTTTATCCCAACTTTTGTACAGCATAACCGCACTAATGCTTACTGACAGCACAGGGGCTTTGAGCCCTTGCGTGCGCTGAAAGTATGCTGTCTGTGAGGAGCAGCAACCAATTTGCTAGGTATCAAAAATTTAATCTAGCAATAGGTATTAAACCTGCTACTGAGTAATCGGGAATTCCGATGAATTCAAACGATTAAGACTTCTTGGCAGTACCAAATCTTCAGTAAAATGACCAATGTCGAATTTTTGATACAGATAAGTTAGCGACATTGACTCCGTCAAAAGAAATTTTCATCGAATCCAATGAAAAGAAGCGCAAGAATCAAAGGCAAAAAGAAATACTTGATTATCTGCGGACTCATGGATGGGGATGATGGCAAGAATGTACAGTCGCCGACTGGATGGAATCACAAGGATATCGTTGAGTAGTCGATGGCTGGGCACGGACACATGTGCAGCTGTACCGGGACTTGTTTCGTTTCTGACAGGACTAGAAATAGATAATTTTGAATCTTCCGAAGAGAAGTTACAAATAGTACCATTCTGCTATGCCTCAAATATCTTTTATTACAACGCGAAATCGCACTAATAGTGCATACCGCCTCAGTAACTAGCTCCACGAGCATAGTAAGTTCATCAAAAACAGGATACAATGAGATGGAAGTTGGCTTTTCTTTGACAAAACTGTTTGACAAACAAGAAAATATTGAGAATTCAATCAATTTGTAAAATCAAAGGGAAAAAGGTTCCGAGGTGAAGAAGGATCCATTACTTAAATTTTAATGAGAATTCCAAGTTTCGTCTTTTCCCACCATTAACGACAGTATAGCGGGACCTTCTTTCAAAATGGAACTTATGAAAGGTACACAACGCATTTCCTGACCATCAGTTGGTTTTGTTCACAGCGCTCACAAGGTCAAAAAGAAGAAACCGAAAATTAACCATATAAAACATTCCGTTCACTCACCGCGATGACAACTTGCTCATAGACGGTTTCGGTTTGCTTGCAGGGGCCGTCATCATCCAAGGGGTTGTCGTCTGAACGTAAGAATTTTCATCTAGAGCCTCAATATCCCACAGACTGCAAAACTAAAGTTGCTGATATAGCTACTATATTCTCGTGCCGTGGGAGGTTGTTAGGTGGAGCAATTTATTAATAAACGGCTCAACGTTTCGACGTTATCGTCTCCTTCGAAGGCCTAAAGCAACTCGAGACTATTTGCACAGTATCCAAAAAGCACATTACTCCCTGGCGGATGTTTTGGCGAATTCAAAACCCATAATTTGAAGTACAACTCACCATGGTTCCGCTCCGCTTTATACCGCTCAAGCGGATATAAAACCTCCGTCATCACAGGCGACTGTCAGTAGCGAATGAAACTTATTGGCTGTCCTACTCATACTTGTGATAAGGAAGATCACGTTATAATGCTACTGAGTCACAAGTCGCAGTGCGGTATATATGGCAAAAGATCGTTGGTTATGGACGGACACTCATCTATCCGCTGTCCTTTTATCTACCATTATAACCGCTTGAGCGCTGGAACCTTGGTGAGTTGTACTTCAAATTATGGGTTTTGAATTCGCTTTAACATTTGCCAGGGATTAATGTGCTTCTTGAATCGCCAGGGATTATTGTGCTTTTTGAATACTGTGCAAATAGTCTCGGGTTGCTTAAGGCCTAAAAGTCGATAACGTCAAAACATTGGGCCGTTGATTAATAAATTGTTCCACCTAACAACCTCGCACGGCACAAGAATATCGTAGTCATAAACAACCATGCCGACGTTAGAGAAGGAGAGAAGTTGGAGACTATTGGTGATATATTCCCTTACAAATTAGAAACGCCAATATGGGTGGCAGTTCGTTAAACCCAGAATACTTATCAGCAAGAACAGTAACAGCGCACTGAACATTCGCGAAACGCCCCCTGAGATATAAAAACTTCGACCGAATCGTCAAACAGCGTGCTTATCCGATAAAATTTCGATGACAGGAAAGTCATAGGGTTGTATCTCGTGAAGTTCTCTGCTTTTTTGTCCTACATACCTAAGGTAACATATTTCGGAAAAGTAGAGTCAAGACGGAAAATAAGTCAAGCCGACTACAAAGACCAACTACGTATATTACACAGGCATGATTAGACAGCATTCGAATGCTCGTACGATTAGGTAGAGAGCGAATGGGCGTCATACCTTCGCTAAGGCTGTTTCCTCCCTCTGTAACAGCGTTTCACCCATTAGAAAGAGGCTATTTGAAACTGTAGTCGCATCCATTAGACTGATATATTATAATAAGAAAGCCTGTTTGGGATATGCCATGGTATGAATGGCGCATTCCTAACAAGATCCACTAAACTACTATTTAGCCTGGAAGCTTAAAACATGCACTTCCATTAAGATTAAGATTTTTAGACCGATTAAGCATCTATGTCAGGACGTCGAAGTATGAAAGCAGTACAAATCTTGCTAGCAGTTTATAACCATAACTATATATTTGGACATTCTTGAGAAAACATAGAACCATCGCAAGCTACAGAAGCACCATACCATTGTTGCTTGTGTTGAAGTGGGAGGTGAAGAGGTCTGATGACCAACGATGGTTGGAGTCACCTCAACTGCCACAGGGAGAGCCGTCGGATTGGTAAGAACGTCTTCGAAAATCGGAAACGACGCTCCAAAGCGATCATTCGGAAACGGTGGTTCAAACAGTCCATCAGGTGGTACCAGAGTTGGAGTATACTCTTTATCAAGTTGCTGATATGGGTTATTCAATTGAGCGTGTGTTGTCCAAACTGTGGGCTGCTGTTCAATCCGTCTGAGAGATTGTGAACGGAAATCCAAAGCCAAATTTTGGGAGCTGAATATTAAGAGTAGTGAAATACGGTAGCTCATGTAGAATATTAGCTTCAGGGCTGTCCGTAGTTCAAGCAGCGCTGACAAACGAGTTCAGAAGGAAGAGGAGGTGCTGAGGCGGGGCGGTCACCAGGGAGAGCAGCGCGAAAATACCTCGACCAACATGTACGGGCGACACGTTCGCTGTGTGTGTCCATCTCATTAGCGGACCAACTTCTCAGGTTCCTCTCCACTGGTCAAACGCTCTGAAACGCCGCCGTTATTACGGTATTCGGTTAGAAGAATATTCCTTACAGCGCGATAGTCGAGAGCGTATCGGAGTGGATTCCGTTAAAATAGAAGAATGATTTTTTAACAAGGGATTCAGAGAATGTATGGCTTTCAGAGCCGAAATAAGGGCATGGCTGGAGCTACAGACAACCGCTTAGCTTACACAACAGGAAAGATTGAATATTGGTGTGAGACAGAAAACACACTGATTAGAACTCCGGCTGGCCCCGGTAATTCAAAACAGCTGCGTGAACCAACCAGTGTGTTTCTCCCTCACACATGACTGAAACTTACATCTACATCAAGTCTTTCAACTCGCTCCAGAACAGAAGAAACTTTTTGAGTTCATTTTCAATGACTAAATACACTCTGAAAGCAGCATTTCGAAGAAACACATAGTCATATCCCATTTCACGCGGGCAACTGTTAGCTTTTCGTGCGACCCTCCGCTTAATTCGTGTAATCCGCTCTGTTCGGCAGCACGTTGCAACATTATGTACTGAGCTCTGTAGAACATCTTGAAGGGGAAATCGAACAACATGCATTAATCTACTAATTTTGAGCCAAACTTTCGAGAACTCACACGTTCGTCATATGAACGCCGCTGGTAATACTCTGGCTAACGCTCGAAGGAACGCGTTGTATTTCAGCTTACTCGGTTTCGATGACATCCTTGTAAGGTACGTTCATTCGGAAATTTAATTTAACGACGTCCATTCGAACGCAAGCCAGCAAAGAAACAATAAATGATTTATTATTTAAAAAACAATGTTAAACAGGAGGATAACACACTACTCAGAGAGTAACTGCCCCTAAGCGGAGCAAATGGGTATCATCATGTTAAGCAACAGTTTAAAGTAGGTGTACGAAATCCGTTCACTGCTCCCGGCTTAGACACTTAATTCCCGTCAATGCTGAGAGCGGTAAGAGAAGATTGATTGACAAAAACTCAAAGCAGCGACTAGGAGATCACAAAAGCACAAAAACGTCAGTTAGACGAAAAAAATTATACAAGGGTGCGGCAAAAGATCTGGCAAAATCCCGTTTCAGGTCCTCTATAATTGAAGAGGCCTTCGATCTTGACAGGATCTGTGCCACTATTTACTGCAATTCTTCTTCTATACATTCCATGAATGGGCCGTTCTATAAATATGCCATTTTACAGAATGGTGACAAGCAAAGTCCAACGAGCCTCCATCTGGCTGGATGCACTGCAAAGACCACCTCCAAGCATCTCCAGATCCCGTTAGGAACCGTATACAACAACGTCAACAGGTACAAGGCGACAGGAACTATGGAGGACAAGCCTAGAAGTGGAAGACCGAAAAGTGCAACGACAAAGGAGATCGCGAAAGACATTCGAGAGAAAATCCGCCGCCACCTTTGTAGATCCGAGAATAGGATGGCCCTTGAGGTGGGTATTTCTGCTCGATCTGTTGGTGTATCACCAGCCACCTTCGACTTCGCTCTTATAAGATCAGAAAAGCTCACATGTTAACTTAGCGTAAGAAGAAAATTAGGCTCCAACGATTTAAGGAGCTTTTAAAGCGATTTTTACAGACACGGCACAGCAACATCCTTTTCACTGCCGAATGCCTGTTTTCAACAAGTCAATTCCTGAACACCCAAAACGATAGGATGATAGCGAAAAGCCCTGCAGAAGCCAGTCAACATGGAGGGGTTGCGCGATCTGGACACCCCAAGTCGTTGGTGCTTCTTGGGGCAATCACATCGAATGGCAAGAACTGACCTTATTGGAGAAGAATTAAGGTGGATACCAAGACCTACTTAAAAGGCGTGTTGTAGAAAGAGGTACTCCCCTGGGCAAAATCCCATTTTGGCAACCGGACACGGGCTTATTAACAGCATTCAGCTCCAGCGCACAGGTCCAAGGTGATACAGTACTGATGCGCAACGCACTTCCCAGACTTCATCTCGTCGAACGATTGGCTCCCGAACAGTCCAGACCTTAATCCATTGGTTCTTAAGACGAAAGCCTGTTCTACTCAGCATAGAAGTTTGGATGCTCAAGTGCAAACCTCGTTAAAGCATGAGAGGAACTGGACTAAGACTACCTAAGTGTCGCCGTCGACGCGTTTCTTAGAAGACTTTCAGCCTGTATTCGCGCAACAGGAGGCTATTTCGAGATTTGGTTTGTTTTTGTGATCTATATAGCCGTTGATGAATGCTGTTAAAGTTGTACGATGTACCGATCAATTTGACCGTTTTTACCTGCATATTCACCGTCGCCAGGTTTTTTGCGCCTCCTGTAGTTTGAAAAGAAGGGCAAGCAAAGAACGAAGAGAAGTAAGGATGGCAGCGAAACGAGCTTCAGTGACGACACTTCGATCAATGAAGGTATGACTAGAAGATAGTCAGCTATTGGTTTGACCTGAAACAGTTCTGTGACCCTCAGGTCTTACATACTTGCGTAATTTTAATGCTCAGCCACAGAAAATAGCAGCAAATCTATTCTTGCTCAATTTCAACACAGAAATGATATTTCTACAAGAGATGTAAAAAATTTGCATAAATCCATCATTACTCTTCATCGTCAACAGAGGCCTTGAGACACTGAGGGGGCTACCGCTGTCTTTAAACTTCTGAAAGGATAATATAACTGCCGTGTGGTGGCTGCGCCTTCAAATAAGGAACGGTCAGTTGATTCTCATAACTCGTAGCCAGTACCAATTTGGAGGCACTCTCAATCCGAATAGCATGACCTCAAAGAACGCTTTGTTTAGCCTGCGTACAATGATTCAAAATAGAAATAAAGGTCAGCTAGCTTAGCTCTAACCGATCAGCCGATTTGCGTGCGAAGCAGCAATGGAGCGTGTTCGGGAACAATTGTCTTTGACTCCAATGTCAACATCTCTTTGACAGAAGCCGGTTCACAGAGAGAAATTTCCAATAACAGGTCTTGAGAGTGATTATCTACTTGAAAGACGTATTCGAGATACAAACGGTTTCTCGATTCTGTTCAGAGTGTTCTTAGTTAACAGGAAAGAAAAGCCGTCTCGATGTGATTGATGTGCTGAAAAACACATCCCGGACTTCGAAAATGTTAGAGGATTATAAAAGTCTCAAGGCAGTTTGGTGGCAAAGAAGCGAACAAAAAAAAGACAACCCGCCAACAACCAGACAAGCCATCACAGTAATACTAGTTTATTATTGCTGCTTGACCAATCATACGACAGCCTAAAGGTTGCATTCATTCTACCCACGCCGACGCCGTAGTCTGCGGAATGAATGCAACCAATAAAACCATTACACCTACCACTTTTGTTCAAGGGGAGTCTTAAAAAGGTTTGGTGTCTGTCGGTCGGTCGGGCGGTCGGTCGGTCGGTCGGTCGGTCGGTCGGTCGGTCGGTCGGTCGGTCGGCGGCGGTCAACACAGGGATTTATGGGTCTCGTAACTTTGTTCCCAGAATCGTTTTGCAGAATTGGGACACAGATTTGAAATCAACGTCTCAAACCGCCTGCAGCGATATTTACCTCATCTTGAATTGCCTCTGTTACCAAGTATCCTTCCCTTGTTGGTTGAATGCTTGATGCTAGCTCGCCCACGCCGCGCAAAGCCTGCTCACGTTGGGTATTCGGCCACATTTCTCCACACCCTCCAACCACGTTGTACAACAATCTGGAAAGAGTTATGAATTTTTGATGTCAGTGCTTCCCATGCCAGTTCAAACACGCGGGTGTTCAACTACATCTCGTTGGTGGCCCCTGACTAATCTTTTCTCCCATGTGCTAGGAACTTTTTGAACAAGTAATGAATTTTCGATATAGGCCACGCTCCACCCCAGTGCAAATCCCTCATATTTTCAGGACTTGGCCGAATATTTTCTATAAAATAATAAAATATAATATAAAAAAGGATAAAGTTCTTGGCGTTAATCGATCCCGTCTGAGGGATGCGCCCCCGCACTCGACTTCCATTCAGAATCGTAGTGGCGTAATGAGTGCGTATGTGGCCTATACAATGACTTGCGGGGTCCAGCCGTTGTACAAGTCAGTGCTTTTATCCTCCCAGACTAGTCTGGTACCAATTAACCGACCCCGGAGGTATGGAAGGCTTGGTTGGCCCGAGAGGCATCGTTCCGAGATTCGAACCCCTGACCGTGCGTGTGATATAGTGCGCCACTTGCCACTACACCACCTCCGCCCAAAATATAATATACGGCAAAAAAAATACTGTCTTGAAAAAAGTACTTTCAAAAAAGGAATGTGCAGCAAGTCCTAATCGACGATCCTTCCGAATGGCTTCAAACGCTAGGCTTTGCCTACTTACGTAGTTGTTCTTGTTTGGGGGTCGGGATTCCATGCTGCACGCCAGTAGCGCTTCCTCGTGTGGTTCACGTAGAGGACACACTTCATATGGACTTATGGTACCAATTCCATGTCTTGTCGTACTGTAAGAGACAATGGAGCGCTTCTTCACCTCACATATTTTCCTTGCCGCACGATTTGGATTGACAATTTTCCAGGTATACATATAAGCAGAAGCAGTTTAAATTGCCTAGAGTCGAGCCCGATCATCCAGCCATAAAACCTGCGAAATGCTACGGCAGATATTGTGTGAAGAGCTCGATGACCTGTGAGTACACATGCGAATGTTCTAAAGCAATCCCAAGTGGAAATAAAGATGGGCAAGGACTTTTGCGACAACCTAATATATAGTACGATGATAAACGAAGAACATCTTACCCATTGCTCTGATCTTGGAAGTCAGTGTTACGGACTATGGGGTGCCTGCAAATTGGACGCGCTCAATCACGAAACAATTCCCAATGCGATGGGTCCTTCTGATATCTGTGTAATCTCGGTTTTTTTAAAGGATTAAGCCTGGAGTTACTGTCAGAAACGTATACCTGACCTCAAATATGATTTTCTGCTGTGAAACAGCAGTTTATATCAAAACAACACGAAATTAAACCTTTTAACTCTTTGACGACAAGCACTTCATGCGAATAACGTCATAAACAATAACAACGATGTTCATTTAGTAATCGCAAAGAATAAATCGTCAAACAAAACAATAACAGACAGTATAGAGAGCGCTGCCAATTAACGATTTGACTTGGCCACTCGTTCCAGCTCGTCCTTCTTTTTGATTGCGTAACTGTTTGAAGAGCCCTTTGCGGCGTTCATAATTTCATCAGCTAAGCATTCAGCAATGGTTTTGACATTACGGAATGCCGCCTCCCTAGCACCGGTACAAATAAGCCAAATCGCCTTCAAACAGAAATAATAACAATTTACTACGGACATTAGTGAACTCGTCAAACCTGATTAACTCTGCGAAGTGGTGAAACGTCGACAGCCTGACGGCGAACGGTACCAGCACGCCCGATTCTGGTCGAGTCCTCACGAGGTCCGCTATTAATGATGGCATTCACGAGAACTTGCACAGGATTCTGAAAATTTGTTGGGTCGTTTCCTATAACTGAGTTTGCTTAATTATGGGAATAACCAGCTTATGATGAACGGTGCAGTCCACAAGTAAACTAAAGGAAAATCAATGAGCGCAAGAAATGAGCGAATTGAAAATTTTCGGTAAAGATAACAAGACTGAAAATAGAACACGAAGTCAGGAAGGGAATTATTAGCAGTGGAGAATGCTCATTGGTCGCATTCATAGTGGTTGCGTTTTTACGCAAACATTGCATTGGTCTTTCACATTGCTTATACGCATATGCGCGGAAGCGCAGCAGTCCGCGTCAGGACCGTTTGCGAGCGATCGTTACGAGACCGTTGTTCTCTGTTGGATTCGTCGCAACATCTCACAGAGAGGCGGTCCTATAAAGCTCTCTTAAAACTTTCCTGGTGCTGATGGTGCGTTTTTACGCATATATCTGAGTAAAAACGCAACAGTTTGAACAAAACTGCAGGTACTATGAATGCACCCGAAGCGCAAGTACTCGTTACTTTGTGGCGCACTACCCACCAAGAGTAAAAAAACTCGCACCCCAACGTGAAGTTACGAACCAACCGAGTTTTACGCATATACTGAGGTGGGGATTGCTAAACTACGTTGCAGTGTCTCAAAAGTAGTCTGCACGAATGAAATGCCTAACACTCAATAATTTCCATTTTGTACCATCAAATGCCATTTTCATTAAATGGCTCTACCAGTTAATTTTGACACGATAGGGATCAGAGAAGTCGACATGTACGGGATTCAATCGGACAACTAGTTACGAAATAATTCGTGTAAAGCAAAATTGAAAAATTGCCGATTAACGTAACAATGTGTTTGTTTAGAAAAAACGTGAACAGAAGATATTGAATAAAAAGGCTGGAACAAACACGCACCTCACCACTAAGTAAATGAATAATCTCGAAAGCATGCTTCACAATACGCACGGTCATCAGTTTTTTACCGTTATTGCGACCATGCATCATCATTGAATTGCACAGTCGTTCAACAACCGGACATCCTGCTTTGCGGAAACGCACTGTCTAAACAATTAGAAGCATAAAGATAGTCGAACGAATATTATTGCTTTTTATAACTTCTTGCTAAGAACAGAAAACCATAGAAGTGCACAGAAACCATATAGGTGTACATGAACTAAATTTATATAGGGATGTACCTGATAACGCCCAGCAGTATGAGGAAGATATTTCGAATGTTTCTCCTTCACTCCAATGTAATCCACAAGTGAAATGTCACTGACATCCACATCTTGCAGACTCCATTTATTGAAAAGCTTAGGCTGAACAGAATCGTAAAGAGCAACCTGTAGTAGATCCTCCATCTAAAATTTTGGAAATTACGTCTAGGACCTAACTATCAAATTGATTCCATTTCTGTTGCGATGGCTGCAATCGTGAGAAATGAGGGCTTTCGAAAAAGGGCCAGTACCGCGTGGTGAAATTGTAACTTACTTCCGGTAACTCAAGCGGTGCTGGCGGTTGTACACCTTGTTGTTCGACAATTACCGACCAATCGTCAGCCATTTCTACCCTGCAATACTGATTCTGGATGAATTTCCTTCACCTTGGGGCTGATTTCACGATATCTGTGACTCGATGCTTCGTACGACACATCAGAACTTCCAAGGTGACATGTTAACCCTTTGACGACCATAGTACCCGCCGGTGGGTGCCACTACCTATGCTTTTTCCTTTATTTGCTCATTTGAAACTTATGCAATATATTCATATTTATTAACAATCTTCATGGTATTTATATTCAACATGGTCTATGTGAATGTTTTATAGGAACTTATTTATTACAAACATATACAGTTAATGGAGTAGTACTGCAAAGGTTTAGATACTTTGGCAAGATTTGTGGGTTTGTCCTGGAAGCATTGGAGGCAATACTTAGAATACTGATTTGCGATTATGTGACCGCGCGATCGATCTCTTCATCCCCAAGTTCCTTGGATGTTATACGAATTTCTGTTTATACTATTACCAAAATTCGAACCTACATTGCTCAAACCCGAATTGCAAATCTACGCCTCAGTTTTATATAAGATATGTTGAGATCTGATGCTTCTGTTATGCGAAAATATAGGTAAATTTACAAGCCAGAGAAAGGAATTCCTCCTGGGACCATGGCACCCACCGGTGGGTGCTAGTCGCGCACGAAAGAAAGGGGGCGTGGTCCCATGGGCGCCTCATGTCGAAATCGGCATTGTCGTCAAAGGGTCAATAAAGATATTCAGAGAAAAGGGGAGTGTATGAAACAGACTTGTGTTGTAGAGAAGGTAGTTGGGGGGTGCCAGCGCCCTTCCGTCTCGTTGCTCTGCGTCTCTGACCATGGCGGCAGAGTATCCAGAGACCGCACTGGAGCGCGGTTCTGGCCTCTCAATAGTGATAGGGAACCTATTCTTTAGCAAGGGGAGGGGCTCCGGGGTGGGTGCGAAGTAAACGTTGTGCAATAACAAGAGAAAGTTGCAATGAAGTAGAAAAGAGTGGAATGGGTTAAAATTGAGTAGCTGTTCTATACATTTCAACTTTATGCGCAACGTTTACTTCGCACCCACCCCGGAGCTCCTCCCCTTGCTGAAGAATAGGTTCCCTAACACTATTGAGAGGCCATATCCGCGCTCCAGTGCGGTCTCTGGATACTCTGCCGCCTTGGTCAGAGACGCAGAGCAACGAGACGGAAGGGCGCTGGCACCCCCCAACTACATTTTCACCAGTTCAAGTTTCTCAGCTCTGAGGAAAGCCGGTGTCTGGAGTACTGAGCCTACTTAAGGAAGGTATAGAAAGACAATTAATTCTCTAGAAACCAGACAGTTCGCCCAACTAATGCCGGGCTCTCCGTCTTGTGCTCTCCCAGGTCCGAAATCCCTTGTTCAAAAGAACAGATGTTGATTTCCAACCAAGCACACGCACACACAGGGACACACTTCGTGCCATTCCCTCCTATTATAAACTGACCGCGTGCTTCTCTTCAAAGTTCGCTCACTTCATGCTTGACCCGTCCCCTGCATCCCTCCTACGCCTCTGAAGACTGGATCTAGTATAGCCACTTTCTACTACCTACAATCGGTTTCTTAAACCTGCTGCTTGCACTGAATCCAAATTTGAACGCCTCCGGTCCAAATGAAGTTTTGCGTACGTTCCATCCCACCCATTGTGGGTGTGGTCAAGTCATGACATCTCTTATCAGCATTCCCAACGTGACAATCTTATTGTGGGCAGAGCCGGTCTGCCTACCACTGTAAGGGTTTCCGTCCCGGCCTCAGCACTATTGTCCAATTTGAATGATCTAGGTTCACGGTGACAGGGGTCACGATTTTGCGCTCAAACACTTGCTTCGCGCAAACCCCGCCCACCGTAGGCGGGGCCCGAACGTGCCACCCACCATAGGTGTTCTCATCCTACCGACAGTATTCCTACTAAATCTGAACGCTTTAGGTCCATGGGACAGGGATTATGATTTTCCGCCAAAATACTAATTTTGCGAAAACCCCGTCCCCTGTGGGCGGACTCCGGACCTGTCACTCACCGTAAGTGTTCCCATCCTGCTGCCAGTATTCCTTCTAAATTTGAACGCTCTAAGTCTAGTGGGACAGGAGACAAAAATTTCCGTTCACACACACACATACACATACATACACATACACATACACACACACAATACACACACAATACACAGACACCAACAGACACACTTAGCAGATTACAAGCATAAGTGAGGATGATCCAGCGTTGGTGGAACAGAGAAAGCTCGGAAAGGTAGAACAGCATGAACCACAGAATTGTTCAGAAAGTAGTAACGATTTTAGAACGTCTCACAGAATTATTTTTCTCCTGTTGAAGGAGCCGTAATCAACTAACTATAACTTCGCTCGATTGTTTTTTGCCATCCTCTTGGTAATTCCATTGCTCCCACTAGTAGATTTTCGGGGTCGTTGGCCAGAAAACTGGACTACATGAGATTTTATAAACTCATCTTCGGGCGAAGGTTTCAAAGAGCCCTGCAATGGCCGGAATAAGTGGTGTTCAGATATCGCGAGATCAGGACTATATGGTTGACTCAGCACCAGTTTTTATTAAGCTCCACTAATTTTTCCCGAATGACCAAAAATGTATGCAGTCTAGGCTCGTCTACACTACTCTTTCGCGACTAGATATGAATATTTGGAGTGCTTTTCCAATTGCTTCATTGAGTTCAGATAGGTAGAAGTCCAAGTTAGCTTTGCCTCTGCGGAAGCACTCCGACCTTATCACATCTATGCAATCCTACCAAATTAATAGCGTGATCTTCTTTTGATGAAGATGATCTCTGGACAACGTTCGAACAGGTCGGTATCTACCAGAACCGTCTGTGAGTAACATTACTGCTACCATTCCAAATTACATCCACAGCCGCTGTCGCGTAAATGGTTGGTCCTATTGTTTGGGGCACAATTCGCATACTAAACTCGCGGTATAAATATCAAGTGCATCTCCCTCAACTCAAGTGGCATCTTGTTTTCTTTACTGGTCACGTCTTTCTAGTTTTTTTTCTTTTTCTCTCTTTTTTTTTCTATATTCTATTTACCTATTCATATGGATGCGTTGATGTTCGCAGTTGGTTCTTACATGGGTTACATGAAGGTCGACTTTGATCAATGCCATCAAAAGATCATCATTCATGACTACTGGGCAGCCCATCTTAAAGTGAAAAATCGCTAGAACAAAAAGTAGTAAATCAGTTTTCACATGTGCTCTGTAATAAGACATTGTCAGCCTATGTTTTACATATGTCATGGGAAACACCAGCTCTTTACCCACGATTGAAGTAAAAAAGTGGAGCTTGGGGAAAGTGCTTCATCTGACAATCTATATTCAATCAGAGCCAAAAATTACAAATGAAAATGGAATTCACCCAAATTTTAAAAGCACAAATATATACTCATAACATATATAAAACAAAAAACGTTCAATCTTCTTAAAAGCTTCCGAAACAAGTGTTTAGGAAGATCATTTTCAAAAGCCGCAGTATGAACACTTCTCTATCGCCAAGCCTACGAACGTTCATGCGCTAGGAATAAGAAAAAGTGCACCCACGATGCTTTACCGAAGCGAGTGCTGAATTGCTAGAGTAATTTAGGAAAACGTTCTCTTCTACTAAAAGTGAAGGTACTAAGGTAAGTCCACTTTAGAAGTTCAAACAAAGACTTCTGTCCAGTTGAAGTTGAGAGAGGGAGCAACAGCAGGCATGGTATGCACACGAGCTGCGAAGGTCGCAATATCACCCAATCAGGGGAACTTTGAACTTGCAAGCAAACGAAGTGAGCAAAACTGCAAAAGCAAAACCATTTCCCACGAGAGTATGAGCTGTAATTAACGACCTCTTGGGATCTGAGAAATTTCTAAATGCAGGGCTTCTACGAAGTGAGGGAACTTGTGTACGACTGAGATAAGATTATGTACGATTGAGATCACCTCGGGCTAAGTGCGAAGTGACCTCAATCGTACATAACCTCACCTTAGTTATGAAAATGATGGCGAATAATTGAAACGATGAGAAAGTAAAACTTTAAGAAAATTACGCTCTTTAAAAGTAAAATTTTCATCGTTTTTGGTTAGAATAATTCTCTTTATGCAGAATAAAAAAAAATTAAAACAGAAAAAGTCCAGTGTAGTGTATAGAATCTTCATTCTCCTAATAAAAAGTGTCTTGAAATTGATAATTGAACAACTCAGATGGTTTTGTTCATAATGAAATCGGACATCGTTATGCAAAACTCAATTTGGATGCGATTTACCCCTCGCTGATAAGGTTCAGAAGTATTATAGAGAAAGCCTGCACTGCGGGTTTGAGCTGCGTTGGTAGAGGTTGCGTAGGTAAAGAAGTAGCATAGTAAGTGTTGCAGTGCGGAGAGCACCGCTGAAGCTCAGGATACCCCGTCAATTCTCGGAAACAATAGGATGTGTTCCCAGAAAACATAGTAAGATTCTAAACAAGGCTTCTTTTAACATCAATAGCGTTTCTAGAAATGACCTACCCACCAGGTTAAATAGTAGCTGATGACCTCTCTTCAATGTGCTGGATCTAGCCTGGTGTATTGTAATGTTCCTGGGAGCAGTGAAGTGCCCTAACTGATCAGCCGAAGCGCGCTCGCGTGCTCATTGACCTCTCAAAGACGAGATGTCCCAATATCAAACAATTACGTCGCTTCTGTCAATGTAATTTGATATCATAGATTGGTGAAAATTCAAAAAATGATCAAGAGAATATTTTTTACATCTTACATGAATTTCATTTTGAGTGTACTAAGTTTTTTACTCTAAATGGTAGCAAAACTCTTGAAACCGCAAATACTGTAAATTCTCCTGTTTACAACCTTGACTTTCTATTGAAATATCACTTTGTTACTGCCATCATTCTCATAACTATGATGAGGTTACATACGACTGAGGAGCGTAATTATGATAAGTTTGTGTACAACTAAGTCCACTTCGCACCCAGATGCGAAGTGATCTCAATCGTACATAAGTTTACCGCAATC